GTCCACGTTTCAGCAGGCACGCCGTCCAACAGCTTGCTGAGATCGGATGCATCGGCGTAAGCGTAAGCGAAATCTGCAATGTCCTCAACGCCCAGGCCAAGGATATGCTCGACCAGCACGTCTGGCACCCGAGCGCTCGACAGCAAATTGCGCATGGCTTCGGCCGATGTCACTTGTTCCTCTGCGTCCGCCATGCAGGGCCGAAGAGGAGGATTGGTTTGAGATACTGTCAGTCAGCCAGAAAATAGCTGGTGGCAGCATGCAACAAGAAAAAATGTGTCAAGTGCGCAAAACGCCTGCGGAAATGCCTGCACTGAGCTGGGGTGCGGGCCTGCTGGTCGCGACAATGATCGCGTTGCGCACGTTCCGGCCTGGGGGCGGGTCTGCACACTCGCCCAACACTCATGGCGGTCACCTGCAAGTGAAACTTTTTTGTGCTACGGCATGAGCGAGAATGCGTGCTGGCACGCGTTATGCTTGCATAAGTGCTCTTGGCCTAAGTAATCAATGCGATGCACTGGTACCTGGATCCCCAGGCCGCATGCTGTGCAAAAAGCGGATTGCAGGTGCTCCGGGGAGCTGTATACTGCATGCACTGCTGCCCCGGTAGTGAGTTGAACCAAGCAGAGTGCCGACGATGATCGTGGAGGAAGTGCTTTATCTGGGCACTCTTCTCCTGATTCGTGTGCGCTGGAGCTGGCTGACGATTGAATGTCCTGCACTGCCCATGCCTCGGGGTCCGCCATGCAAGGTTGAATTTGCTGCTCCCTGACGTAGGTAAACATGCGTAGCGGTGCAGGAAGGTCCAGTAAATTTATGCTCTCTGGGATGGGCTGTGCATCAACGCGGAAAAGTGGCTCGAAGACTGGATGCTGACCTCCCCTGGATTGCGGGCGAGTGGGTCGCCAGCCTCGGATGAGTGCGGCTGCTATCTGCGCTTGCACCCAGAGGCTTTCGATTGTGTCGTCGCGGCTGTACAGTTGCACCGAATTGATACGGTGATGCCCTTGCTGACGTCTGGACTCCTCTGGCAAGCGGAGTTGGGCAGAAGCGCTCAAGAGTGCCACTTTTAGGCTGTGCAGCGTATATGCATGCGCCTCGTCTGAGTTGAGGCATGCTGAAGTGCGAGGCTCCCAAAAAACTTGCACTGCCCAGCGCAGCAACGACAAGGCCTGCGTGTATGGAAGCGGGCCCGAGAACTTTGGGTGCGTTTTTTCGTCAATGCATGCGAACACGGGCATGATGAAATCTGGCTCGGGCAAACTGAAGGGTTCTGAAATACTTTGAGCGACTGCTTCCTGTGCATGTGGACCGAGTTTGGCCTGTCGGAAACGAGGGGCCACGGCCCGTCCTGGCTGGGCCCTTGACCCGAGGTCTAAGGGACCGGGGCTGAGAGGTGCCGCAGATGGCTCGTGCCGGAGGGCTGAATGCGGTTTGGGTGCCTGGCAAATGCTGCGGGGCTGCGGCCTGCAAGGCGGTCGTGGTAACGGGTGGCAATGCTCTGCAAACCATGGGAAAAGAGGTGACGGCTGCGTCACTGGCAGGCCTCCACGGGCGAGGATTGGCGCAGGCTGAGCTTTGGGCTGGTTAAGTGGGGGGTGGCCGAAGCGAATGCGTCAGCATGCGCACGCCTACCGGAGCACCGGTTGCTAGCGTTGGTGCATGTTCAGCGGAACGTGGCTGGGCGGCAAGCGGATGTGGAGCGCTGCTTGCTGTTGCATGCGGACTGGAATGCAAGTCCTGGATGCTATGACGGGGCCTCAGTTTAGGCGCCGGCTTCGGCTTTGCGGTTGGCTGCACAAAGAGGCGCTCCGAGTTGTGGGACTCCTGCGTTTCACTGTCGGCATCCTGATCGAGCGGCCTTTTCACTGACCATGCCGACCCCCAGTGGTCACGAACGCGCCATGGCATGGGCGTGATCGAGGGGAAACTGTGTCTGTGGCAAAGATTGAACCTGCGCAACCGTGGCATGGAATGCAAACGCGTCACGTGAATGCCTGCTGCGTGTAGGCGCGTAACGCGGCCTCGAGGAGGCCTGGATGCGGACCTAGAAGTCGGTCTGTTCGTACCTGGAGAGTCGGATGCATGCAACCCTGGCTTAGGGAGGCTTGCTGGAAACATGACTCCAATTGCATGGCGAATGTTTTTTCTTTTCTCCACCGGCAAATGCCTGCACGTGCCCCGGCAGGGAGTGCGGAAGCTTGCATGCATGCCATGCTGTTGGGCTGATGCAAAATGCGAATGCGTGCAATGCCTCAGCGGTTGAGATCGCGGGCGTCCGCGACGCACCCGCTGCAGCGATGCCTGTCATGCGTATCCGTGGAGGTGTCGACCACGTATTGACCGCACACTGCATCGTAAGGGCGTGCGGAATTTGCACATGGCAGGCAGCAGCTGATGCGGTTGTTGTCATCAAGGTACAACATGCGTAGTCCGCGGCCCTGCATCTCCATGCGACGCATGGTGCGGGGCAGACGCACCGAGGGGATGCGTATGCATGCTTCCAGCTGCTGAACAAATGCGGCCCGCTGTTGCCTTTTTGGCATCTTGGGTAGTGGCGTTGGACGGGAACTTGCACCCGGGTTTCCGGGGTGATGCATGCTGTATGCCGCAATGCGTTGGTTGGCGGCATATGCTGGGTCGATGCTGTAGGAATGCGTGGCGGGATGCCAACGGGTAGCTTCGTTGGGCACCTCGCGGAGGTGCCAATAGTTTGCCCAATAGGACCCGTCGTGCGACCACGGGAACCCATGCAGAGGCGGCTGATGGCGAGGGTCGCCTTCCTGTGGGGGCCAATTATGCGGCGTGTCGAGCGGTCGGCATGCAGGGAATTTGGCCCCTGTAGGCGGTGCTGTGTACATGCATGGTGCAGGTCCAGGCTCTGGTTCTGCAGCTGGCTTTGCGGTTGCGGCGCAGAGCGTCTGGCGTGCCCTCTATGCGGTCATGCCAGGGATGCTCCGGCTGCTCCTCTCTAGCAAGTTGCTCCTCTCGCTCTTCTTCTGTGAGCTGAGCCCACGGTGCCCTGACATGCGGGGGCTCGGGCATGCTGATTTCTTCTGGAGCCGGCTCCAGCGGCACGGACTCCTTCACCTCCGATGCATGCGCTGGGATGCAGTCTTCGGGGAGCTCCGGTGGCTTGCTGGCTTTGCCTTGCACTTGGGCTCCGCTGTTGCGGATGCATGCTCGGGGGTCGGTGCAACATGCGGGTCCGAAAAATCGAGGAGGTCGGTGTTGGATGGACCCGGTGCGTGGGATGCGTCCTCTGGCTGCACCGACCCTGCATCGGACTGCGTCTGCGCAAGCATGCGGATGATTTCCTGCAAGAATGCGGGATTGTTCTGGTTCTCCGCCACCATGCGCTGCAAGTCCATGGCGAGGGATGCTGGACAAAGCAGGCGTAAAAAGCGGGCACTGTTGCTGTATGGCAGAAAAAAGGCTGACACGGGCAAGAAATGGGTCATGCGACCGTGACAGCAGGGCATGCTGCAACATGCGATGCTATCAGCGTAACAGGGCTCACGTGAGGAGGTCGACGTCTGCATGCCGCGGAGTGTCCACACCTTGGGTGCGTGGTGGAAAAACAGTCTGCACAAGTCTGCGGCGCATGCTTTTAATCCTGATTCCCGGCGCAATCTGGCACGCTGCACACGTGGGTTGCCTTGCATGCTTTATCGTAAAAATTATCGGCCTGGAACCTGATGCAGTAAGGTGCATGGCGTTGCGAGGCGGGCTGAGGCAGGCCTGGCGGAAAAGCTGAAACTGAGCTGGG